GCTCCTCCAGCCTCTTCTCCTCTTCCAGCCGCTGCTTCTCGGCCTCCTGCTGTCTCTGCTCCTCCAGTCTTCTGAGTTCCTTCAATTCTCTTTCCTCCTCTTCCAGCGACTGCCTCGGGGCCTCCCCCAGGCTCAGTGCCACCGACTCCTCCTGATGCACCTCTTCCTCCGGACGCCTTGGCTCCCCGGCCTCCGCACGCCCTCCTTCCTCCTGCTCCCTCCGCTCTGGGCCTCGGCAGCCCGGCTCTTCCAGGCTCGGCCTCTCCGCTTCACGCTGTCTTTTTTCTACCTCCTCCTGGACATCCCTCTCCTCCTCCTCCTCCTCCTCCCTCCCCTTCCTCCTCCAGGAGCTCTTGCCGACGGTTCTCCTCCCACAGCCTCCTCTCCAGGGCCTGGAGTCTCTGTTCTTCCAGGCGTCGCCTCTCCGCAGCTTCGGCTTTCTGCCGTTTGCACTTGGCCTCAAGCTCTCGCCAGTATTCTTCTTGGCGTCGCCTCTCTTCCTCCGAGTCCAGCAGGTCTGGCTCCTCTTCATGCCAAATGGGCTTTTCTTCTCCGGGGTGTCCGTTCTGGTCCAGGGACAGCTGACGTCGAAGGACACCATGCTCGTTCTGTCGATCCTAACATTGCGAAGGGGGACAGAGTTAGCTTGCCTTGTGCACAGGCTACCATTACAATCCTAGTCACAATGTGGGGGGCCCTCTTCATCTCAAAAGGATGGGCAACCTGCCTAAGCAGAGACCCCTAATCTTGGGCATCTCTCACACCAAGAATAAACTGTGGGGGGCACTTCATTTTTGTTTCCTCTATGTCATCCTCAGATTCCTTTTTCTTAAAACACATGAGTAATCACCGGTGTCCAGCATTAGGAAGATGAGGGAAAAATGAGATTTGCACTTCATCAATGTCCCCTGAAACTTGTGACTCAGAAGTCTGCTCTAATCAAACCAAAGAACCTTTGGCTAAGCTGTGGCAGAAGAAAGTGGGCCATCTGTCTGCTGCAAAGCAAATGCAGTGTCTGGAGCCCCTGGGAAGGCAGGCCCCTCTCTCTGAGGTCCACCAGACCCTGAAGGACGAGTCAGAAAGGGCAGTGGGAAGGAAATGGACCATTCACCCTCGTTCCCTGCAATAGGGCTACATCCCTGGAAGGGAGAGACCTTGTTCCTCCCATAGGCTCCTCACAGCACCACCCTGCTAGGCAGCATTAGTGCCCAGCCAACAAGGGCATCTTCCTGGGCAGCCAGGACATACGTACCCCAACAAGTCGCCTGTGCTTCTTTGACACCCTCTGGTTTTTTGGCTTAACGGACAGTTTGTGCTTGGCGGCACTGTTGTCCAGGCGAGCGATGGCCAGGGGGATGGCATCTAGGTTGACACTTTCGATGGTGCCAGCAGAAGAGAAGTGCCTTTTTGGCCGAGACGGTTTTACTGGAGCAACCTACAGTGGAGATGGAAATACGCGGTCAGCTTGCCCAGCCAGGACCGACCCAGGCGATGCTGGCCAGCAGGGGGCGCCCACGGGCATAGTGAAATGAGCACTGCTTATCAAAAGACGTTGAGTATTTGTTTTGTTGGTGACAATTTGTATTAACTTGTAAAGGCCATTTAATCTTTCAGGGACTAGTTTTCCTCCTCTCAGTGATACGGGCGTTAGATTAGATCAGGAGTCAATAAGACATAGCTAGAGGGTCCAATCATGCCCAAAGCCTGTTTGGGTAAAGAAAGTTTTGCTGGTACACATTGTTCTTGGCTGCTTCTGCACTACAGAGGAAGCGCAGAACAAAGGAGAGTCTGGTAGTTGCAACGCTGTGGCCCCAAGGTCTAAAATAGGTAGCAGTTTACTGTGCCCGGGACTAGCTCATCTGTATGCTAAGAACTCAAGTGCCTTCCACTGCCTCAGACATCGTGTGTACATTCCTCAGCTCCTACCTTAGCCTCTTTAGGACAGGGAATATTTCATTTTCACATCTGTATCAGTCTTCTTTATGCCCAAGTAGCACATTTCACTTGGTAAGTGCTCAATAAAAATTTGTTGAAAGAATGGAGGAACAATAAAGTATAACCTCTGTGCCTAGGGCATAAAATTCCTAAGCAGCAAAAATGTTTTTGCACAATCACTCCAAAGTTACCAAGCACTGAAGCTCACCTAGAAGGGAAAAGGAGGAAGCCTGGGTGAGGACATGAAGGGCAGAAATGTGCCACACACAGGGGAGGGGCAATTCTTCAAAGGATGGACTGCACCATGCTTGCAGGTCTATAATACAGATGTAGTCACTTAAAAACCACAACCTCGGATCAACTATGCACATTTAGTTACGTCAGAGGGACTGTGGCTCAGAAGCCACACTGAATCAGATGGTAAGAAGCTACGCCTGCAACTACAGAGAATTCATAGGCCAGCAGCGAGGCAAGGGCTCCTGGCAACACCACGCACTGTGCAGCAGAGGGCGCTCTTGGCAGCTCAGACACAGGTGCAGCACCCACTGAGGCCAAGGTTCATCTGTGAGTGCAGGGTCATTGGGGTTTAGCCGATGGCTTTGCTTTTTGCAATTACCTTCCCTATTTATGCACAAAGTAAAAGGACCCAGCTAGCTGCAGGAACAAAATGAGTGCTCAGTAAACATTAATTTATGACAAGAAGCATGGAGGTAAGGAAAAATAATTCCAAGCTTAGGTCTCCTAAGCCTTTATTTATTTATGGTTATCTTTATAATAGGTGTCAAATTCTGAACTACTGTTGATGAGAAATGAATTAAACATTTATTTCCATCCCCTAATGGATGCATGAGTAAAAGGAGTTAGAGCCAAATGTGATAGATTGAAGACACAGATAGAACAACTGAAGCTGAGATTCAAATGCAACATTCTGCTTCTAGTTAGTCACGTGGGGCCTCTTCGTCATCTAGGTGGTGGAATTGTCTTGAGCCACCCCCTTCAGAAGACTTGGGGACAGGACCTGTCCCCAGACTATCTGTCAATCCCCAGGAGGACACCTGGACCCCAGTGCAGGTGACAAACCCTCATGAGAGTGGACCGGCCTCTTCGGAAAAGGTGCACGTGATCTCCACAGGACTCCCTAGACTCCTGCAGGCCAAGTCCAGGTTTCAATGCAATGTTAAAAACCAAAAATACAGACAAGGAGAGAAATGCGAAGTTCTTTTATTTATTTATTTATTTATTTTGCATCTCTAAATAGGAGACCCTTTACCTTCAGGTGTTCTGGAATGTCTTTTTTTAAATGGCTTACCAGTGTCTTGAAGTACAAGATACATTGAGGAAAACTACCAATACCTGAGACTCCAAACACAGGCATGCCGGGAGTGTGGCTATTTTTCTGAGCTGGGTTCAGTTCCAGCAGTTGCATCGCCATGGAAACAGACACTCCAACATCTACCACTGGTTGCATTTTGAAGGATTTAAAGAAGTGGATAAAGACAGCATTTATGAATGGAAAAATGAGGCAAGAGATCACCAAAAAAGGAAAAATGGAAGTTAAAGTAAGGACGCTAAATACATAAGTTCAAATCATATTACCTTCTCTTCCATCTCACTTCTGGCTCCAGGCAGGTTCAGAGGACTCGGAGAACTTGACGTCTCACTGGTCTGGAACAGTAGAGAGAGCGCTCCAGTCACAGGCTAGGACAGGAAGTGCCGGGCGGTTAACCAGGCACTCACTGTCTGTGCTGGCGAGGGTCGCCCCTCCCCCACGCAGGGGACTCTGCTGATGTCCAGACTCCATCTCAGGGGATCCTGAGGCTCAGTGTGCACGCCCCTCTTCCCCGAGCCAACACGTTTCCCAGCCAGGTGGCCTCCAACTGCCGCCCTTGAGGTGTTTCCCCACTGCTGAGAGAATCTGGGGTGCTGCCCTACCGCCACCCTACCTGGGAAGCCAGCTCCAACCTCAGAGCTTCCAGCTTTGCTGGCTGCCTCCCACCCCCTTCATCTGCCAGACCTCTTCTCCATAAGAAGGAAAGAGGGCCATTCCAATGGTACACAGGGGCTGGGCTGAGAAGGTGGCTGACCAGAGGAGGCGAGAAAGCTCAGGAAGGAAGGAACGTAAGGAAGGAAGGAAAAGAAAAAGGCTGACAATTCACACCCCATGCACCTTGTCTGCCCTGGGTACACACACCTCATGTCATCTGCACCAGCGACACCTTCTCTCTTGCATCACCCATTTTTACAAAAGGGTCTCACGGTCCATTCCAGAGCCCTAACATCAGCATGCTCTACCTCAACTCATTTTCTACATCACACTTAGTTGCATCTTTAGAAAACACTTATCAGATTATGTCGCTACCCTGATTAAAATTACTATTACTTTTTGAACAGAATTCACCCCTTCTCCAGTGGTCTACACAATCCAGCCTCCGTATTGTGCTCTACCCACCCCTGCCCTCGTCCACACTGGCCTGCTTTCTGTTCGTCCTTCAGGACAAGCCCGCCTCATCTCTGGGCCCATGTACCTGCTCTTCCTTCAGCCTAGAACATCCCTCACCCTGCTCCCCCAGATCTGCTTACACTGTTCTGACCTCCTTATCTAAAGAAGCAACCTCTCTCCAACCACATCACTCACTTTTCAATTATCCTGTTTTACTTCCTACGTAGCATTTTTATTAATCCCAAACCATGCGATGTCTCTATTTGTTGACTTGCTTGTTGTCTGACTCTCCTCTTATTAGAATGCAAACTACCCGGAGGCAGCCCCTGGCCTAATCCTGCTTATCTCTGTGGGACTCACAGCCCGGGTATCGGGGTATCGCCTGCTGAACCAAGGATCCTCCTTCTCCCCCAGGCCACAGTGTCCTGCCCTTATTAGATCTTCAGTAACAGGAAAGACATTTGCTTTGGCCCGTAGGAAATCCCTGAATCAAGGCTGGTGGCCATCGCTGCTGCCTAGCACCCGAGTTGGAGGGAGCATTTCTGTGATGATGACCCAGGGAGAGAGATGGGCCCCGTACCTGCTTCCCCCGCCACCCCACCCACCACCCACATGTGTGGGCGCCAGGAGTCAGCAGGGTCCGGCCCAGGCAGAGACGGCCCACAGGGGAGACTGTCCTTTTTCCTCCTTCCTTTGCTCTACAAGTCGCTTATCTTTCTTACTACTCTTATGACATATTAGCTGATAAGAAGCATGACCTCCTCCAGGGACATTTTAATAACACCCAGCATCATCTCAGGCACCATGGTAGGCTCAGCACAGAGAACGCTTTCCTCTACGAACGGAAGGCTCCGAGCCTCACTGGGAGAACAGTTTATCTAGCTGCTGGAAGGACTTCTCTTCCTTTTCCCAGAGAGGCCTGAGGGCATCCTTTCTGCTGCTTGGACTCTTATTTCAGGATACGCTCACTGGGTTTCTTCCAAAGTGTCAAAAGACCACATTCAGAGAGGACGGTGCTGGACCAATGTGAATTTCTTTCCACACTAAGCAGACTTCAAGCTGGTCTGTGTGATATGTTCTATCTTATTGAGCACATACTTCTTTCTTTCCTCATTTCCCTTTAAATTAGTCCAACTTGACAAGTAATTATTCAGTGCTCCTAAGTAAGCAGTAGCTACATCCTGGGGAGACAGATGTGTAAGATCCAGTCTGTCCTCAAGGAACTCGACATTTTGAGATGGGGAGAAAACAGTTCCATGGGCACAGATGCAGATAGAGAACAAATGTGTAAGAGGCACTAATGATGCACAGCGAAGGCACAGAGGGGACAGGACAGCTTGGGGGTGAGGCCAGGCAA